CGGGAGGCAGAAAGAGAGGAAGAAAGGAAAAGAAAGAGAGGAAGAAGAGGAAATGAGGAAACGGAAGAGAAGTGGTGATATATATAAGACATATACGGACTGAAATCGGTCCGTATAATCCTCAATGGCGTGCGACACCAAAAAATTTCAATTTTTTTGGAAAAATTTCAATTTTTCCGGGAAAAATTTTGGCGCATTAATGATATTCAGACCGAAATCGGTCTGAATATAAATAAATTACCGCAGAATCAATAAGATTCAAATCAACGGTAAAAATTTGGCGCATAAATTAATTACGGATCGATTTCGGTCCGAATATATTTGTAAAAAATCTTCCAGCACACATTTTTGTTCTTTTCATTTAAGGACATGACCATTTCTCGTGATCTAAATCCATTGGAATATACGGACCGATCCCGGTCTGCATATATGCAAACAATCGAGAAGCTTCCATGCTTTTCATTTTTCAGACCGATTTTGGTCCGAATATAGTAGAAAAAATCCAGAAACTTCTTCCAGTGCACATTTTTATTCTTTTCATTTAAGGACATTACCATTTTCTCGTGTTCTAAATCCATTCTTGCGAAAACCAATTGCATGTACATCGATCGTACAGTCCCTTAGAACCACAAAACCATCGATTGTCTAGCTGAAATTATCTTACGATACTACGGAGTAATATCGTTGCAAAACCATGAACGTATAAGTTAAAGGTTATTAGAGATAATGTTACGTAATGCTCTTTCGGAGTAATAAGCAAATAAAATTCATTTTTTTCTTAAGGTTAACCACTTTGGCTTGCAAACATTCGGAATGTTACGGTTTAAAACAAGAGTAGAACGACTTAAGCATGAAATAACAAAAAAAAAAAATAAAAGTTGTTGTTCATTGGAATATACGGACCGATGACGGTCCGTATAGATATATACGGACCGAGATCGGTCCGAATATAGGCAATCCGTGGGATTTTTTTTATCTTAAATCTAAATTAAATTTAGTGTGAATATAAACGGACCGGTATTGGTCTGAATATATGCAAAGGATCAAGAAGCTTCCATGCTTTTCATTTTTCAGACCGATTTTGGTCCGAATATAGTAGAAAAAAATCCAAAAACTTCTTCCAGTCCACATTTTATTCTTTTCATTTAAGGACATTACCATCTTCTCGTGTTCTAAATCCATTCTTGCGAAAACCAATTGCATGTACATCAACCCTACAGTCCCTTGGAACCACAAAACCATCGATTGCCTAGCTGAAATTATCTTACGATACTACGGAGTAATATCGTTGCAAAACCATGAACGTATAAGTTAAAGGTCATTAGAGATAATGTTATATACTACTCTTTCGAAGCCATAAGCAAATAAAATTAATTATTTTTATTTAGGTTAACCACTTTGGTTTGCAAACATTCGGAATGTTACGGTTTTAAACGAGAGTAGAACGATTTAATAATGAAATAAAAAATAAAATGAAAAGCTGTTGTTCAAGGGCATATACGAACCGATCTCGGTTTGTATATATATACAGACCGATATCGGTCCGAATATAAGGCCGTATATACCCGAAATGAAACCCAGGAGCGGTGAGGTAATATACGGACCGATAACGGTCCGCATACCTATATACGGATTGGTATCGGTTCGTATATCATGTGAGACTCATATTTGGCCTTCCGGAAATCTGTAACAAGATGAACAAAACAGATTTACTTTATTTAATAATTATATAATATTACCAAATAATGCAAAAATATATTTTACCATTTAAATTAAATGCATTTATAAAAAAATAAAATATGTTTAGAATAATTACTTAATATAATGACTTAAAATATGTAAAAGTTTAATTATATTATACATGAAAAATTTTAAAATTCAC